CCTGTCACTACGTTCCACTACCAGTTCCGACACCCTCCACGGCTACCTTCTAGCCCATCCACATTTGCCACCGTACATTTGAAAATAAACCAAAAAACTCACAAATATTCGAAAATCAAATAGAGAAAATTCACCCACCAACGAACGGCAGCCACCGTCGCCACCCAAACTATCAGAATATCTTCCCCTAGCTGACGACCTTATTCACAAATACATCTCACACAATTAAATGGGCAAACAACATCGTGTGGATATCAAAATCAACCCTAAAAGCCATGGAGTCACGCAATCCAAAAATAAAATCTGACAACTCCAGTGACACCCACAGACGTGCATCGTTGCCAATCGGTTCACTTTACTCAAATGCTCCAATTCATGATGAGACATCATCCAAAAACAGCTCCGTTTGATAGATGTTTGCCTCGACAGCAAAACGAGGCATTTTTGTCTCCATCAATTGAAAGGTTTGGGAATGGTTTTTCACAAAATTTTGGAGCTCTTTTTACTCAAATTCAACCCACAATCCCTCAGCAATACCAAATGATAATGGGTCTACCCTTAATTGATCCAATTGTGTCACAAATTGCTCTAATTTTGGCCTCATATTCCACACATCGGCCTTTCTTTTTTCATATTCTACCCGTCGACCTTTGAGTAGTGACGATTGTCTTTAGTAAGTGGTGTCGACGTTGTGGGTGCCGATGATAACCAGCCATTGGATCCTATCGGTATGGGTGGGAGTTGGGGAAGAAGAAAGTGTAGGTCATCGACCTTTCTGTTTTCATTAGGGGTGGGGTGCGTGGTTTGGTTTAGGGGTTTGGGGTATATTTCTTTCATTTCTTTGGTTTTTTATTTAATTTTTTATATAAGAAAATGTAAAGTTGCCCTTTTGTCCTTTTAAAATTAATCAAAATTGGAGTCAAAGTCAATTCTTGTGTCAACTAACGGTCAAATGGACAGATTTTATCCAGTTGGACCTCTACTGTAAATTTTTGAAAGGTTAGAGATCTTCGGTGACATAAATTAAAGGTTAGAGTAAAGTCCGCAAAAATGAAAAATTTTAGGGACCGCTGCTTCAATTTTTCCAAATAAATAACCCACTTAGTTAACTTGTGAACCACGTTGAGCCACAAATCCCATTGTTAAATACTGTAGTATGCAAAATGTCAAACAATAATATAGCCCAACCTACTAATGTACGATTCTACTTTGCTATGTTGTTTGTGACGTGCATCCATTGTCTATTTGGTGAAAAAATCATTAGTAAACTTGATTTATTTATTAATAATTCCAAACGTGGATTGATCACATTGGATTTGAGGCAAGTGAAGTCTACGAACCTTATTGCTAACAAGAAAATTTTAGATGGATAATCACAAAGTGCTGCCTAATCAATTATTTTACTTGCAGCGGGAAAATTGAAAGTAAGTTCATATGACTCTTTCATCAATAAAATTTCTTCTTATATTGGTGCATGGTCAACTTCTTCGTTATCATATGCGGGTAGAGCGAAATTTGTGAAAGCTGTTCTACAAGGAGTGGAATGTTTTTGATTATCCATCTTTCCCATCCCCGCTACGGTGGCTTCTAAAGTCACTAGTCTATGCCAGAGTCTCTTATGGGGATCCAAAAAGCCATTGGTTGCTTGGAATCAAATTTGCTTGCTAGAGCAAGAAGGTGGACTCGGCTTCAGAAAAATTAAAAGTTGGAATGTTGCACTCCTTTCCAAAACACTTTGAAACATTCACAACAAGAAGGATACTCTTTGGATTAAATGGATAAATCAAGTTCATCTTCGAGGTATGGACATTTGGAAGTATAAAGTGAGGAAAGATGATTCTCCATTACTTAAAAAGTTATTGGAAATCAGGGACGGCATTATTGGGCAACAACATGAAGTGCAGGCTGGTATAGACAGGTTAGTTGGCAGGACGGAAGTTAGTAGATTCAGCACAATGGCATCCTACCATTTTTTTAGACCAAAAGGAGCTAAGCAGTCTGGGCAACCTCAGTTTTGGACGGATCTATCACTCCTAATCATGCTTGCATCCTATGGTTAGCTATTCGGGCAAAATTGCAAAGAAAAGACAAATTACAACTTCAGATAGACCGAAACTGCTCTCTTTGTGGACTAATGGTGGAAACTACCCATCATCTTTTCTTTTCATGCCCGGTTAGCAAAGATGTTTAGGACCAAATCCGTGGTTGATTGGCTATAAGGCATAACATGTCTACTTTGTTGAGCTTATTAAAGTGGATGAAAAAGGACGCTCGGTGAAAGAGTTCGCAAAGTAAAGCAAAATGTATAGCACTTGCAACTACTGTGTACTACATTTGGATGGCAAGGAATAGAAGTATTTTTGAAGATCTTAAGTCGCAAGTTAACTCTATCGTTAGACGGATTAAAATACACGTATACAAAGCTATGTTTATTTTGTATCCGTATGTTCTAATTCAATTTGAGTCTTTAGCAGTAGTGCGTCTTTAGATCATCGTTGGTACATCATTTTATGTTTGTCTACTCGGGTATGCTTGGTGTACATGTATTGATTACTTGGCCTTTGATTACCCGAATATGTTCGGTGTACTTGTAAATGAATTTTGATCTATGAAAGTTTATATTGACTGATAAAAAAAAAAAAAAAAAAGAATGTGATTTTCTTGGAGTATATTATGGCCATAGTAAATCATGGATTGTGAAAGTTTGCCATTACAAGTTTACAAGTTGATATCAAAGAGAGAAGAGGGAGAAAAAAGTGACCAGATCAATGGAAGGAGTGATGGTTGTGGGTTTTACAACAGTGGAAGAAGAGGTCGGTGAGAATGGAGCGATGAGATGATGCGACAAATACAATAACAATAATAGGGAGTGGTGACAATGGCGAAGTCTGGTATTTAAGGTCCAACTTCATATTGAGTTAACACTAAGGGCTTGCATAGCCTAATATCAGCATACTTGAGTGCATTATTAACCACTCAAATTAAAGAGTGGGTTTGTGTCGTGTATTTTGTATTTAATGATTCCATGTGGACATACATATTAGTAGCTTGTTAGTTTTAACGGATGTAAGCTAACTTGCATTTAGATTTACGAAATCCAAACGGGTAATTTAATGCAATCAAGTTAAAGTTTAGTGACTCGATTCCATGGCCATCAATATATTTAACCTAAAACCTAATTATTCTCTGATTGGGAATAAATCGTAGATAATTTAATTTATAAATAAATAGAAACGAGCATAGATAAATGAACTGTACTTATAAATCATTAAATAAGTCGTGTTCAAGTCTTTGAATAAAGCCGCGCTCAAATTTTAAACAACTTGTCCATATGTATTTTATATTAATTCTTTTATTTAAAAATATTATCTCAAAAACTCCCAATTGCGTGAAAGAAACAGTAAGATTGCCAATCTTCACTGTAGGAAAATCGCGTTGGTTGATTTATTTGCATATATCGTCGAGAGCCTAAACCCCAATCAATGAGATGAAGTATTTTTAATATTCAATATGTGGCTATGTTGACAGCAAACCAATTTATTTTATTATGTATTTATTTTGGTATTTTAAAAATAGACTTTTTTTTTCTTACTCATAAATTAAAGATTACTTGTTAATGTTGAGATTATTTATATAACTAATCACGGGTTATTTTTAAGTTCAATTAACAAGCAACTATTTATATTGAAACTTATAGTATGGTCAATTGTACTTACTTTACTTATTTAGCTACACAATTTTTTTTTTTCTCCTTCGCGTTTTTGCATTGAAAAATGTTTAGTTTTAAAAGTAAGTCTATCTTATGTTATCTTTGATAATTTATCAATCATGTTACGTGTACACTTTATTTGACATCATTTTTGACATTGTGTCATGTGTCGTAATATGAACGGACAGTTTTAAAATAAAACACACTTTCCCGCCTATTTCAATTTGAAAATCAATGGAGTGTTAACCATAATGTAAATAAAAGAATATACAATTGGCTTATTTCTTATTACTATGCACAATTTTTACTCAACACGAATGATTGTTTAATCACCACGTGACCTTCGGACGGCCAATCTTTATAGAGAATAATGCCATGTAGAATCAATGATGTTTATTACAATTGTAGGTGATAATGAAGTTTGCTCTACAATCTGAATAAGTTGAAAAGCATTTTCCTCATTTTAAGAACCAATTTACAATTATAGAAAAAAGACAAATTTTATGTTGTTTGAGCTCCATTTTTTTAATTGAAATGTAATTTTGAACAGTGATTCGATCCCATTTTATTCGTACAATTTTCAATCAAATAATATTTCACATAAATTCAATTTTTTTTAATTTTTAATCACATATCCTTCATCATAACACTATTAAAAAAAGCATTTTTTTTTTAAAGGGGGCTCAATGATTATTTTGAGAAATCAATATGAGGAGGAAATAAAATGGCGATGGTGGCCTCACCACAATCTTGCACCTTTCATATATTTTATTCAAGCAATGTTATACAGTACAAGTGGTATTACAACGTCAATTCAGATAATATTATGGCCTCTATTATAATAAGAAATTTGGGTAAAATGTATTTTGAAATAGTAATTTTTGGGAAAATGTGTAATTAAAAAAGAAGGAATTTTTTTTATTTAAATGTAATATTATTCTATTTAAATCTTGGTATTTGTACAAACTTAATTTACAAATTATGCGTCGACAACATTTAGGTCAATTATTTCAAAAACAAATTTTAAAATCAATGGTTTAAATTTTGTCAACACTCAATAGATGATTAATTCCATTTATTAAAGAATGATCGATTAAAAATAGTGAGAAAAAAGATGTATTAAAATTTCAATAGAGCCAAAAAAAAAGAAAAAAAGAAAGAAAAAAAGAGAGGTAAATATCATTGAATAATCACAATTATTATATTCTGGAAGATGTCATTACCATATTCCTACTCAGCCTAATAATACCTAAAGCACAATGCCCCCACTTTAAATATATATAATATAATAATATTCCACAACCATCCCCCTATTCCCGCATAACCCAAACCCAAAACTTTCTCGCGTCCTCATAAGGCGGCGTAAGTATTGGGTTACAAACAATGTCAGAAACAGAACCGATCCGAAGCAGAGCGCCTCAGCCATTGCGCAAGCAGAGTTCGTGGTCCCCAGATACTTTAAGAGAGGAGGCGTGGACTAATCGGAAGAGGAATTATCGGATGCGGCGTGGTAAACTCAGTGTTACAGACGATGATTTGGAAGAGCTCCGAGGGTGCTTTCAGTTGGGATTTAACTTTGACTCGCCCGATTTGGACCCGAAATTGTCATCTGCTTTTCCAGCGTTAGAGTTCTACCATGCTGTGAATCGGCAGTACAGTAATAGCTTGTCCCGTTCTTCTTCGTCGTTTTCTGATTGCGATTCCGTGTCATCTGTTGGGAGTCCTAGCTCTATTATAGATCCAGGTAACCTCCACTTAATCACCGTGTAGTAATTATTGTAATTCTGATTCTTCTTTTCTATTTTTGCTATGAATTTTGAATTTCAATAGATGACGATCCCGTGATTGTGAAGACGAGATTGAAGCAGTGGGCACAAATTGTAGCTTGTTCGGTGCGCCAATATTTACCAAACTAAATTGAGATTCATTTAGTTTGGGGAAAAGGAAAAAAAAAATTATATCTTCAACCAATTTGTATATCTATATTCCAGAATTCAATTATTCTGGATTATTTTTTAATTGTACTTTTAGAATATATAACCTTTTTTGCTGCTGATTTTCAGTGGATGATGACGTTTTTGCCCTGATTAATGGTAATTAAAATTGTTTTACTTTTCCATTTTTCCATTGGAATCTATGTTTGTCAGAAGGGAAGTTCTTTAGATCCATTCAATAAAAAAAGAAGTATTAACAGAAAACTTTAAATAAAAAAACGTAGGCACTAATTAGGATTTTTGAAAAATTCGGTGATCTAATTAAATTTTATCATTGAAGAATGAAGAGGAATTGAACTATTTATTTGTTTGAAAAATTTCCCTTTCGTTAAAAACAATGACAAGAAGTTTTCAAATCATTTGATTGTGTTTTAATTGTTCATAATGGTGTAAAGCATGAATTTTTAGTATATATAGGCAGCATTTATGTTCTGTATTGCATTGGATTTCATGTAGTAAATTTGTTGTACAAGAACATATTAGATTGACAATTTTTGTTTGAATTGGTACGCATCTACATAATTTTTTTACATTAAAATTTAAGTCCGTGCGGACGCTGCACATGAAATTGATTTTATATATTTTAGAGCAAACACTTGAAAAGTTGACATGTCTTTGGTTTAAACCCAAATTTGAAGACCTCGTCTCTCGAATTTCGCATATGACATCAAAAGGATTTATATTCTTGGATAGAGAATGTCTATAGGGGGCAATGTGACCTCCCTTAAACCCGGCCAATAGGGGGCTCCACATCAATTTTCTTTTCATCTTTCAATATAGAAATTTTCTTTTCCTTTTTGCATTTACCATCGATTTTATCACTTTCTACTCTTTAGTCCATTTACAGTCACATTACCATTGAAAATTTGTACTAACTAAAAAATAGTTTCGGGCAAGTAAATAAATTAAGATATTTTTGTTATAGAAGACATCCTTTGGGCTCAATCCTAATAAAAATGCCTTTTCGAGACTTAGCCTCTATTTGATGGGATTAAAATCAAATTTTTAGTAAATTATAATAGAAGTTAATGAAAGTGAGATAAAAAGTTATGGAACCATAAAATATGGGGTTAAAATTAATTGTTGGTTTTGATTTAGATTATAATTTTAATTTAAATTTAAATTTATACCAAATAGGGACTTAAATAGATATTAGCTTAAAGTTGGGCTCTTATCAATTTGTTTACAATGTTTTTGAGTTATTGTGATGTCTTGTGTACCATTGACTTCATTGATGAAAACTTTTAGTGTCGTTAATTGACGTTGATGATTCATAGTCGAGAACTGGTAGATAAGAACCTATTATTGAATATGGTAAGCAATTGTGAATTGTTTTTAGCCCTTATTTGTTGGAGATTAAAATTAAATTTTGATAAAAATTAATGAAATATATAATTGAAAAATGGGGATTCCATCAAATATGTGATTAAAATTAATTATTAACCTTGATTTAAATTAAAATTTAGATTAATAGAGTATGTCGATTCAGTTTAATCTTTGGAGAAACTTTCTGCTTTATTGGCCTATGCTCGCCAACAGCCTCCCTTACCCCCACAACACTCACTGAATTTCAATGAAAGGCAAACCATTGATCCAATTCTTTGAACAATCGGAATTTCATACTTATGTTGAATCCTCCCTATCTCGTGATCGAACTTTACGCAGGTAGATGTTCACTTATTTTGGCCTTTTTACCCTATATTGTAGGGTGAATCTCGAAAAATATAAAAAATCTCCCTCCAAACCGTACATACGACTTTCATCGAATACAACTTTCCGCAGAATTCTATATGTATCATTGAGATTGAGTATGGAATTTTGTTTACTCACTTTAAATTGCGTATTCATTTCATTCCCTTCCTGCTAAGATTGGAAATCCTGTATTTTACATATCCATACAATTGAGTCCTTGAGTATATAAATAGTGTAAAAAGAAGTGCTTCGAATCATTGCTATTTAACTCAAACCTATTCTAAAAAAGTTGAACAAGGGCTTAATTTATATTTGAAATTAAATAAAAATATCTAAATAAAATTCTTTTTACACTCCAAAATCAAGAATAGAATTGCTTTGAGTGGCCATGAATTATGTGTTGGTTTATTTATTTTTTTTAAACCCAAATTAGGTTGGATTGTTTTGGAAAAGTAGTGTTTCCTTTATTTCACGCGCTTTTATTGGAAAAATATTATTTCCTTTATTTCACATGTTTTTATTTGAAAAATATTTTATCATTTATTCCGTGTGATTTTTTTATTTTGTATCTATTTTGATGAAATATTTAGGGTTTGACAAGCACCCCTATAATTACTAGACAATTTTCATGAGTTTGTATTATTGTAATTAGAATAATTGTGTAGGCATATTTATTGTATTTATTTTCTCCATGTTAATCAATTGAGTAAAATACTCCATTCCCCAGTTAATTAATTCTGTGTCTTTTATCTCATTGTTTGTTTGCGATCATATACTTCATATCATATCATATCATATATATTACATCGATACGTTTTTTATTCCCAACAAGTGGTGTTGTGATTTGTTTGAGATTTTTGCTATTGATGACAGTCGTGAAATATGAAATTTCGCTCTTGGATTGCAATAAAATATTCTCTCTATGGCAAGTGGAAATGCGAGCTGTACTTGTGCAGATGGATCTGGATGATGTATTGTTGGTGTTGAAATTTGACAAAATGCCCACAATTTGGACAACGAAAGAGAAACAATTGAAGGATCGGAAGACACTTTCACAGATCCATCTTCATTTCTCTAATAATATTCTTCATGACATTTTGAAGGAGAAAACAACAATTGCGTTGTGATCGAAGTTGAAGCAATTGTGCATAACTAAAAGTTTAACGAGCAAATTGCATTTGAAGCGTAGGTTGTATTCCAATGCATGGCAGAAGACATATCTTTGGAAGATTATCCGGTTGTATTCAAGGGAATCGTCGCCAATTTGGAGACTTTAAATGTGAAGTATGATAAAGAAAATTTAGCGCTTCATTTACTTCGTTTAAAGACACGCTATTGTATATTTGTTATATTCTCACAATTAAAGATGTATGTGATGCTTTATTTTCAAAAGAGAAGATGAAGTATCTGATTGAATCTGAGGTCGGAGATGAAGAATGCCTTATTGTTCATGGTGATCGAAAAAAATGGAAAGTCGAGGTCAAAATTTAGTAATCAAATTTGTTATTATTGCAAGAATAAGTAACACATTAAGATGGATTGAGACAAATCGCAGAACAAAGGTAATTTGACTATGCATCATGGGAAGCAACCAAATACTTCAAACAAGACCAATTTAGCCGATAATTTTTTGAATGATGGAGATGTTTTGACGACTTTTGACATAAAATCCAAACTTGACAATGAATGAATTTTGGATACAACTTGTGTGTTCCATAATAGGGATTTGTTTGAAACATATGAAATAGTAATGCAAGGAACATTGTCAGGTAATTGGTATTTGTAGAATCAGATTGAAGCGGGTGAATGAAACATGTAGAATACATCATCAAATTCATCATGAAGATATGTACGTTGATGCTAATTCAGTTGATATGCTTTTAACGTTTTTGAATGTGTTGAGTCTAGCTAGGGGCTTTCTATGAAAGCATTTGGAGTTGATTCTGCTACGAGTATGGTTGACAATGTATGATTATTCATGTACCCGTGTTAGATGCCATAGAAGAGGAGTATTTTTGTGTTACGGAAAGTTCGGTTCTTATTGAAAAGTTCAAATTTTTCGTTGCGATCATATTTATTTTTTCAAGTGGAATAATTTTGGAGCTAAGTTGGTTATATCGAAATTTGTGTCAATGTGAGATTGTTGAATTTTCTGACCCAAATTAGGTTGGAATTTTGAAAAAAATAAATAAATAATTTCCTTTATTCCACAAGCTATTGTCGAAAAAATATTTTTTTCATTTATTTTACTTGATTTTTTATCTTGTTTTCATTTTTATGGTACTTCTAGAGTTTGGCATGTATCCCTACAAATATTAGACTATTTTAACAAGTTTTGTATTACTGAAATATAAAATAATTTTGTAAAAATAATTATTATATTTGTTTTCTCCATATAGTCAATTGAATAAAATATTACATTCTTCTGTCAATTAATTCTTTACATTTTATCTTATTATTTACTTGCGATCATATCGTGTCATAATTATTACCTCGGTCAATTTTATTTTCCAATATTATACGAAGGAATATTCTCTAAAGGCTGCCCTTGGGGCTTTTTTATATTGTATATTTGTGTTGTGTTAGCCGCCATTGAGCATTATTTTATTTGGAGAACCTTAAAATGGTGGATTTATTTCTTCCAAGGAATTCATCAATTCACGTGTACTTTTGGAAAAAAGTATAATTTTCTGATATGTTGTATAGTGCAGACTTCGACTCGGAATAAAAATAATGGTCAAAATTGGATTTCAGAAGAACTCTATTCTATCTCTATTTAAGAATTCTCATGTTTTTTTCTTGTTCATTGAGACCTCCAGAAATGGTCAATTTTCTTCGTAAAAGAACACGGATATGATTGTTGACTGGACATAAAAGTAAACAAAAGAAATATGAACTAAAACTATAGTCGATATATTCTCTGCTATTGTCCGCTCTTATGTTGCGATTTCTCTTTCTTTATGGGTCTTCCCATATTGAAAAAGGTAAACATGATAGGACAAATTGAAAAAGAAAAAAGATGTTTCGACTTCCACTGCTATTGATGCATGCATCGGATCTCTCCCTCGATCTAATAGTAAGATTTACAATTTTGACAAGATATATGTGTATTTAACTTTTGACTTACTCGTAGGTTCAAATTTTCCGAAAGTCAATAATACACAATAAGAAATTTCACACCCATACATTTGAGCCTTGAAATTTTTCCTTAAACACAACAAACAAATATCCAATTTTCTACTGCCTTTTTGTCTTTCATCCAAATTATAAATTATTCCCTTGTCAACGTACCCACCATTATTTTACTTAAGGCCCAAGCTTAGTTAGCACACCAAAAATATCTAAGTTCTTGTAGTTGACGTTACAACGTTGGAATGATGAAAAGTGAACAACGAATAATCACGTCTCTATGATATCTAGAGTGAAAAATAAGTGACGTGGTAAAATGTTAAACGATTTCTTTAGATCAGATTTTCAAATTAAAATGAGAAACTAAAATTATTTTAATAGTATAAAAAGCTTGTTTAAGCAGTATTTAAAGCCGAGTTATTTCTTATTATATAAAATGATCTTTGAATGAAACATATATATTTTAGATATGATCAAGTGAAAAACTTTTCTTCTCAAATTATTACTGATAAATTGATAAAACGACACCTTTCAAGTGAAAATGCAAAAAATAATGGTTTAAAATTCATTTTCTCAATTTAATCAAATTAGTGTTATACCGTCTTAATTTCATTTTAAAGAAACACTTGAATCTATAGTTCTCGAGACTGGATAGAATTTCTATATTGTAGATTTTGGAAATTGGTCTGGACAAGAATGTTACATCTAAAGTGAATTGTAACGTTGTCTAACGTGTATTATCTTATAGATCAATTTTCAAATCTCACAGCCTCCAGGCGCATATCCCAGTAGTGCAAAGGACATGAATGAGGTAATCTTAGTCTTGCTGGCAGTCACAGTGTGAGGGTTCGATTCCTGAGATATGAAATCGAACTCTTTATGAGCATCAGTATACAGGCAAACTCTTGTTCCTTGGCCTGATGGGGTACATCCCGAGATTTATCTCCATCAAGATACTCTAGGGAAGCGATAGGGACCCTCAAGATTGGGATTCAACATTTTTTAATTTTCAAATCTCACAGCCCCCAGGGACATATCTAAATAGTACAAAGGACATGAATAAGGTAATCTCAACCTTGCTGGCAGCCACAGTGTGAGAGTTCGATTCTTGAGATATGAAATTGAACTCTTTATGAGTATCAGTATACAGGCAAACTCTTGTTCCTTTGCCTGATGAGGTACATCCCGAGATTTATCTCCCTCAAGATACTCTAGAGAAGCGGTAGGGATCCTCAAAATTGGGGTTCAACATTTTTTAATTTTCAAATCTCACAACAACACACTAAAATTTTTGTAAGAGAAATGGAAAAGCTAAACATTTTTGGAAAATAAAATGGTGATGTTACCATAACGGTGCCCACTCCTCTTATGTTCAGGGACAAGGATCTAGTCGGACGCAAGCCCGGACACCTTGTTAAAAAAAAAAAAAAAAAAAAAAAAATAGGACA